CCTCTCTTCCAGGCAGGAGGAGCGGGGATCCAAGAGCTCGGGGCTCATTAGCATGAGTAACTCCATCCCGGAGCCTCGTGAATTATTGATCCGGCCCGGGCACCCGCTCTCTTTATCGGCACAGGCGATGGCCTCTCTTCCTGGTCCTCTGGGCCGCTGCCAGCGGCTCCCTTCCCTTCCCGCTCCCAGCTCTTTGCTCCATGCACTGTACGCCGAACACAGCTACCACGGTGCCCTGTGGGGAGGGGGGTGCTCCTGCCCCGGGCTTGGCAGTTCTGCGTGTGGAAGGGCTGAGCTCTTCCGGGAGAGTCTGGTTACTTAATGAGCTCCTGTGTGGGGATTGCAGCCCTGGGCTTTGTTGTAGGAGCTGGCGTCTGGGCCTGGATGCAGAAGCCTGTGGGCTGGGCCAGAATGCAGCCAGCTCTGGGGCGGAGCGTGGCGGCTGTGGCCGTATGGGTTAACCCCTGGTGCCCCTCCCCACAGGGACGACGACAGCCCCCCCGCTGACGGGCACCCCCACCTTCCGCCCGCCCGGCTTTGACACGGCCAGCTTCATTGGGGGCATCGTGCTGGTGCTGAGCGTCCAGGCCGTCATCTTCTTCGTCATCAAGTTCCTCAAGTCCAAGGACAGCACCTACCAGACGCTGTAAGGACCCCCACCCCCTCCCCCAGCCCGGCCCCGGGGCGGGGGGCGGGAGAGCAGCCCCGTTCCCAGCAGGGGATGGGACGAGACTGTTCGAATGGGGGACTGTGCCCAGGCAAGGCCCCCCCATGCACATCTGGTGCCAAAGACTTGGTGTTGACCCCCAGGGCAGGTCTTGGGGCAGCCTTGGGGGGCGGGGGTGGCTGAGCATTGACCGGCCCCCGTGCCCACAAAAGCTTGGCCAAGCCCCCCAGAGCGCCCGTGTCCTGCGGGCGCCGTCGTGCCATCTGCTCTCAACCCCTCGTGCATTTGTTTTCTGTCTTGTGCCAACTGCCTCGTGTCGCCCCCTCCCCCGTCTCTGGTGCGTCCTGCATGGGGCTGCCTTGCCCACCCTCCCCTTCCCACCCCCCAGCACGGTCTGTCCGGCGTCCACATGAGGAATATGCCCCCCTCGGCTGCGCGCCTCGTCCGTCTGTCATCGCCCGCTCGCCAGCTGGCTCCTCCTCGCCGCCCGCTCGAGGCGCAGTGAAGAGGGGGTCTGTTTCCAGTGCCGAGGGCCAGGCCCCTCTCTGCCCCCCCACAACCCCTCTGCAGGACAAGCACGGGCGGCCTTAATGCCCTCGTCCTTCCCCAAAGCGAGGGGATTCTGCACGCAGCCCCCGCGGCGCGGTGCCAGCGCTTGCACCACCCGGGGAGCCGGGTCGCCGTCCCCCTTCCTGCCCGTGGGAGCGGGGGGGTCCTCTCCTCTGGGTGCATGGGGAGTTGGTCCCCGCATGTCTAATGCTGGGGGGTCGCCCCCTCTTTGTTTTCCCTTGCACGCTGCAGAGAGGAGAACCAGTAGGTGCTGCCGCCTGCGCTCTGTGTGCTCTTCCGGGGGGCTGGTGCTGTTTGCTGTTCTGGACTTGCTGTTCCCTTGCCCCGAGCTGGGGGGAGGCGGGGGCCACGCTGCCCACCCCGGGGCCCCAGGCTGGTCGTGCTGCACTGCCCAGCCAGCCTGGTCGCCTCTGCCCCCAAACACAGCAAGGAGCCGCGCTGTAGACACAGGCTGTTCCCCTGTCCAAGCATCCTCCGTTCGCCGCCGCGTGCCCGGGCACTAGGCAAGTCGTGCGCTTCCCCCTGGGCTTCTCCAGGGCTCTCTTGCCTCGGTGAGGGCGTCCCGGAGCTGCCGAGGTGCAGGAGAGACGGGGTGGGGGTGTTGTCTGTGGCTGCTGTGGGCTGCGTGACCCCCGCGTGTCGGCTCCCCGAGAGGTGCCGGTGTGACTCGAGCTGGGCTGGGTCCTGCCTGGGGCAGGGGCTGCTCCATGGCACCGCGGTGATGGCTTAGCCAGGCCCTAGATCCTGGTAACACCCAGAAGCCCCCCCAAAGTCAGGCGTTTTGCAGACCTGGAGCCAGGCTCAGTCCATCCCAGTTTCTGCCCCGCAGCCGGGGAGCTGAGGCCCTGAGAGGTTAAAAGCCAGATGCTTCAAGTCAGCTTGGCTGGGGGGAGAGAGGGCAGTGCCATCATGAAAGCCTGGCCTGCCATGCACTGGAGCCTGGGACTGCACTGGCAGCTCCTGGGTGCCCCCTAGCCCCGTCTCCCCACGGGTGGACGCCCTCCAGGCTCATGAAACCTCCTTCCCCGGGCGGACGCGCACTATCAGGGCGCCGGAGCTGCCTGGCTGGGACCTCCCACCCCACCGCTGAGCCCCGGGGAGAGCCCCACAGCAAGGTGCCAGCGCCGTGGAAGGAGATCGCTGCAATGCAGCAGCCTCCGCGCCCTGCCGGCGGCATCGCCTCCAGCCTCGCGTCGGCCTCTTCCAGAGTAGCTTAGCAACTGGTGCCTGGAGCCCCGGGCGACTGCATGGGCCTGTGCGATGCATCCTGGGTCCTGCCCCTCCCCTGCTGCGGATGCTGGGATGGGGGGGTGGGGCACCCCCTCTTCCCTCCTCCTGCCCCCCGAGGCCAGGCCTGCCGTGTGCTCTTGCTGTGCCTGTGTGTTGCTGTGTGGTTTCTCATGCCCTGGGGGGGCCGGGGGGTGCGTGTTGTGTGTGGTGGGGTCAAGCCGTGTAACCCCGGGTGATGAATTAAAGCCATGAGGTTTGATTTCTCCAGGGCTGCTCTCGTGGATGTCTGCAAGGGGGCTCGGACACCTTGCAGCAGGGGAGCCCGTGGGCACGGTCGTGCCTGCCCAGCCCCAGGCGGGTGCAGCTGCCTGGCTCCCCTGGCCTGAGAGCTGGGATCTGTCCAGATGTGCACATCTGCACCCGGCTGCATGCTGCTTAGCACCCCTGGCTTAAGCAGGGATGGGCGGGGAAGGTCCCAGGGGGCCATTTCTAGCCCAGCTGCCTAGGAGGGGGGCACACAGCAAGGCACCAAGCGGTGGGGGCTGCCTGTATCCTGACTGCCCTGAGAACTGGCTCCAAGGGTGGCCAGAGTAGCTGCCGCCATGGGCCTTGCTCGGGGGAACCAGCCCCAGGCCCGAGTCCTGCCCTCCCCTCCTGCCCCAGCTCCCCCCGCACCCTTGGGACTTAGCAGAGCCAAGCTGCCCTGTGCCAGAAGCTTGCTCTGTTTTGGTGGCAGAGATGGGCAGGGGGCTGTGTCCCTGGAGGCTGGCACTGAGGGCAGGGTGGGCAGCCCCTGCCCAGCAGAGAGGCAGGGTCTCCTTGTTCAGTGAGAGATGGCCAAAGCCACTGGAGCTCCTGGCCAGCGCCAGTCTGGTTGCCCCCCGGCCCTCTCTCTTTGCTTTGGGGAGGACCTTCTTCCCCAGAGGCCAGTTCACGTGGTGGCTGTTGCGGCCAGGATGGCACTGGTTCTGCCTCCCCCTTGGCTGAGCAGTGCAAGATGCTACCCACTGGCTTTGGGTGCATCGCCCCAGGCTGGTCTTGAACCGGGGACCTTGGAGCTGCCCCATGCCCCCTCGTGCCAGGGCCTTGGAAGCGAGTCTCGGTGCCCAGCCTCCTGGCGCGCTGCGGTGCGGGGAGGGCAGTGCTGCACATGCCAGGCGAGGCTGGGTGCCCCCGGCCCTGCCTTCTCTGGCGAGCTCTCTCTTGTCTAGGATCTGATGCTGATGCCGCTTGGGCCAGTGCTTTGAAGTGCCGTCCCGGGGAGGAGGTCGGTGCCGCCTGCTGCCCCGGCGCCGAGCCAGGACCCTCTTCCTCCTTCGGTGCCGCTTGCTGGGGCAGGGGCTCTGCCCGCCCGGTGTCTCCGCGCCCCCCGCAGCTGTGCACGGCCCCGGTCGCGTCCCCTAGATGTGCCGTTCGGCGGGCGCGAGGCTCGCGTGCTGGTCACGCCTTGAGCCCAGGCCGGTCCCTGGCACCCTCTGCTGCGGGCCTTGCTTGTGGTGCCCTTGGGCTGGCTGCATGACCCCTGCTCCAGAGCCGCAGGGCACAGGCCTCCTGTGTGACCCCCCGTCCCCACTGTGGCTCTGCTCCACTCCTTTTTCCACACCCCTTGGCCAGCTGCCGTGTCCTGCTGGATTTCCCCGGGGAAGGGCAGGGGCCCGGCTTGGGCTGCCCTCTGCATCCTGCCCGCTAGCACTGCCTGCGCCCTGCTGCTCCCCTCCATCCTTCTCGCCCTCTTTCTTTGTCTCGCCAGCCCTGGGGTGGGGGTCTAGCCCACGTGGTCCTGGGGTCAAGACGGCCCCGACTTGCTGGTCCCTTGGGGGAGCGCTCGGGGCAGGCCCCCTGTTTGATGGGGGCACCGGGGCCACGCTCCCCGCAGCGGGGGGCCGGAGTCCGTGTGGCAGGCGGAGTTGAACCCTCAATAAAGGAACTCTTTTTCTTGAAGGTTTGGTCTCCGTGTTGTGCTGGGGGGTCTCCCTTGTGAGGACCAGACACCGGGGCAGTGCAGCCCCCGCTCCCCAGACACCCTGGGGCTCTGTGCCTGGGACACCCCTGATCCCAACCAGCCACCGCACGGCCCTGCCTGACCCAGGGAGCATCTGTCCCATCCCAGCCCGCTTCCAGCTCCACGTGGCCTGGTGGCTTCCAGCGACCGCAGCACCTTTGCTGGACACCAGTCCTTCGAGATCGTGAGGGATGCTGCCAGCTGCTCCTGGACCCTTCTCGGGCAGGCTGGGCTGGTGAGGCATGAGCCGGGCTGGCGGCTGCATGGGGTATGGGGGGGCAGAGGAGTCCTTTTGGCAAGACACCAGCTAAGAGAGCCACCAGCTCCAGCTTGCAGGCGACTCCCGTGGGCTCCACCGCCGGAGACTCCCCTTCTTGGCCAGCAAGCAGGGGCTTTGGTGGGGGATCCGTGGGGCTGTGTCCAGCGGCGCTATAGCCTGGCTCCTGTGGCACAGTGCTGGCCCTTGAAGGCGTCCAGAGCAGCGGTCGGGGCCTGGGCAGGAGGGGATCTGTCCCCAGGACGTGTGACTGAATGGGCGACTCGCGAGCAGACGTGAGGCAGGAGCCGGCCCATGCCTTCCTGGACCGTCGGGGCTTTGCAATCCAATAGGGACTGAGCATCGGCAATGCTGAGCCCTGGCACCCCCCACCCCAGCCCCAGGCCCTGCTCCCTCCCAGACCACTGCGCATCCCCAGCATCCCCTTAGGCCAAGGGGAAAGATCAAGGCAAGATCCTTGTCACCCGGCCCAGCAGCCGCCTTGCGTTGTGTGGCAGAGGTGGGTGCTTCAGACCCAGAGATTTCAAGTCTCGGAGGAGCCGCCGGCTTGTGCTGTAGCAGTCTGGGGGGTTGGGAGGGTCCCAGGCGGAGGGCACGGTGGGGCCCTGGAGATCCCTGCTCCGACTTGCAAGCCAGGAGGTGCTCGGTCCAGATTCCCCGGAGGCGGGTTGGAGTCATCGCCGTCTCCGAGGCAAACAAACAGGAACAGATGAGCTCAGCTTGGCGCGGGCTTTCCCACGACACGCCTGCATCTGAGCTCTGCAGACACGGCTGTCAAAAAGCCGGGGGGGAGGGGGAGAGTGGGAAGAGGGGATATGGGGCTTGCATGTTGGAGCGGAGGAAAATAGGCACGCATGTCAAACATGACTCGCATGCCAAGGCTGGCTGCGGCACAGATGTCATGCCAAGCTGCTGCCTCTGTGACCGCTGCTCTGTGCACACAAGATGCCCAGGAAGAGCATCCCTAGCTGGAGCTCTCCCAGCGTCCAGCGCTCCCCGCCTGGGAGCTCTGCAGATGTCCTGGGGGCTGCAGGAGAGCCCCAAAGGCATTAGGCCAGCTCAGCTGGTTTCCGGCATTGGCAGTGTCTGACACTGCGAAATCTCCTTGTCCTATGGTGTAATTGCACCCTGTCTGTTGGGTGTGCATGCGTGTGTGTACACACATGTGCCTTGGCATGCCACGCCTCTCTGGCATGGTCAGGCCCATGTATTCCCCAGCCCCCATGGGCTGTGCATCTCGCCCCGGAGAACCGCACTGCCCTGAGGACGGCACGAGCCCCATCCCCATAGCGCCGGATCTGCATGGAAGTGTCTGCAGGTTTCTCGGTGCCCGGCATCTCTGCCAGCCGGGGCTGCGCTCTGCCAGGCTGGCTGTCTGTCCATCCTGCTCTCTCCTCCTTTCCTGCGTCTCCTCCAGCTGGCTGGCTAATGATGTGTACTGCCAGGGCCTCCCGAATGACGGTGTGTGCACAGACGGGTATTTTTATCTCCCGGCCCTGAGCTTGTTTGTTCTGTAGCTCTGCAGGTCTCTCCTGGGATGCGCCGGCTGCTCTGGCCATGGCTGTTGCTATGGGAAGGCCTGGCCCTCCCGGCACTGCGTCGTGTGGAGGTCCTGCTGCCTCTTCGCACGCGGGCTGCTTCTGGGCAGCGCGGGACTCGGGCCCGTGCCAGGCCCCAGGCGAGCCTGGACACGCGTTTAATGCTGTCTAAGTCCCACAGCGATGGTGCCTGGCGCCAAAGCCTGCTTGGGCCCTGTCGGTCCCTTTGGGCCCTTCTGCCTTGAGGGACTAGCCCAAGGTTGCATGGGAAGGCGGTGGCAGAGCAGGGACTGGAGCGCGAGTCTCTCCCAGGCAAGACCCCCTGACCACAGGGTCCATGCTGGGGCAGGCCCCTGCCCTGCATGTGTGCGGGATGCCTGCAGAAGGGGAGAGGTCCCCTGCCTCGCAGCAAGCAAGAGGCTGCTTCAGCGCTGCCCCCGCCCTTGGCCCAGGGTGCAGCGAGGGACCCCTGGTGCGGCCAGCCCCAGGGCTGGGCTCCCGCGTAGCACTGTCCAGGGAAGGAGCATCTCCATTGCTCCTCATCAATTAAGGCTGGGACTGCTGCCTCCTCATGCACTTCGGTGAGTAGCCGGTGCCCAGGGCCAGCCTGAAATGCAAACCACTCTGAAGTTTGCAGCCGAATCCAGGCAGGCAGGAGGGGCTAGGCTTTCACCTTGCAGGACAGATTTCCACGTTCCCAGCAGCCCGGAAAACAGGGACATCCGCTCCTTGGCGTGTCTGACTGCCGCATCGGGGACACCCCGGGGCAGGGGTCATGCAGCCACGGAGAAAGCACATTACTGATGAACGCCGGGGTTGCTCCAGAGCCTTTTGCAGGTCCCCACCCCATTCAGGGAGCTGCAACGAGCTCATCCAGCACCTCCATCCCCCTGCAGCGAGGATGCCGTGCCACTGCCCCATCCGCTCCCCCGAGATAAGTACGTATCATTGCAACTGCATTGCACGGCTTCTCCTCTCCGGAGACTGCCCCTTCCTCCCAGCGTGAGAGGAGGTGCAAAAAGCGGTCAGTCCCCGATTCCAACACACGAGCTCGGGGAAAACCGCCCCGATGCAACCACGCAGGCGCCCGGCGGGGACTCTGCTCTGAGCTCCGGTGCCATCTCCGAGCTCCAGAGGAAGAAACGGCCCTTCGCGCTTCCAGGCAGCCGGGCCCTGGCCACAGAAGGCCAAATATCCTCGCGTCCTTTTGGCAGCAGGGAGCGACAGGAAGCGAGGAAGCCGAGCCGGTCCAAGCAGCAGCTGGCGTCGGCTCTGGGGGAGCGGGCCTGCAGAGCCTGGCTTCTCCCAGTTTTGCCTGGGGCTGAGCAGGGAGCTGAGCCGACAGCGAGCCCCGTGCCCAGGACCGCCCTGCCCCTGCCAGCCGCACGAGCGTCGGGCCCAGGACAGAGTCCCAGAGGCGGACGAGAGCGAAAGAGGATTTCTTCCCCTGATGTGGAAGGAGCCCCTCGGGCTGTGCACTGGCCTGCTGCACCCGTGCGCCTGCAGCAACCTCCGCCACGCGCAAGAGCGGCCGTGGGCGCCTCCGCGCCTCCCGTGCGCGCTCCCAGCCGCGCGCCGGCCTGGCCTGCCCAGAGCCCTCTCCCCCCCAGCGCTGTGCCCGTCCATTAACCCGTCAGCCAGCCTAGCTCGTCTCCCCAGGCCTCTCTGAAACGCCCGCGAGACCTCCCCCCTGTGCCGGGCCCGCGCTGCTCCATGTTTCCTGCCCAGCAGCCATCGCCGCCTTCGCCTTTTATTCTCCTGGCTTCTCCGGCAAGGAGAGACGCGCACTCGTGCCTGCGGGTGCCACCGCGCTGCTTGCGGCGTGCGTCCCATCCGTGAGCGCCACGGGCACGGACCCGCCTGTGCCAAGTGTGCACGTGTGCAGCCCTGTGCTCTGCTCAGCCCCGGGCCTGCTCTGCTTGCAGAAGAGGGGCTGGGGGCCACGGGGACTCTGCTAGGGACCCTGTCACGGGGCACGCACGAGGGCCACGCGGTGACAGGGGCAGGCCGCCGGCTCACACCAACGCGGGGCTGCTCTTTTTTGCCCCGGCGCGGCGCGGCGCGACGCGTGGGAGCGGGGGGAGCGCGGACTTCGGCCCGGGCGGGGCGGGG